CAGGACCAGCAGACCTGAAGCACTGGAGGAAGGAGGAGAGTGCTGGCTGCTGGGGGAGTGAGGGATGAGGTACGTAAAAGTCCTTTTTCAAGTAGAACTGAAGGGAAAACTTTTTAAACTAGTTTTGGATAGGTTGAAGAGGGATTAGAACACCCGTCAGGGGAGATGTACCCTCTCTATTTGTCCTTGCGCTCATTATCATTGACAGTGAAAGTGAAAGGAAATATCAATCTTCCAATTAGGACACTTGTCCTGGTGACCCTGGTGACTACCAGGATTTCATTTATTTTGGAGGGATTTCCATTAACTTCTTGTTGTGACTATGGGGGACAGGAAGTGAAGGGAATTCTCCCCAATGGGACACAAATGGAAAGAAAACTGGCAGAGGTTCTAACCCTTCCTTACTCTTTCTAGAATCTAAAAAAAAGTTGTGACTTCACTTTTACTTTAAACTTTATATGAAATGTTATTAGCCGGATTTAGTTGTAATTTAGAGCTAAACTCTAAAGCACGGAACAGCAACCCGTAGATCGTGATCTACCAGTAAATCGCAGCCAGGTGACTGGTAGTTCACGGTTTGGGCTTGCTGGCCCGCCATCCCTGAGCATCAAACAAAGTGCAATGCAGAGGGACCGACTATTTGTAAAGTTGGAGCTGTAGTAGAGAGCAAGAGCCGCATAATCCAATGCCTCCTCTGTAGGGCTTGCTCCTATCCCATGCGGAGTGATACCAACTGCACTCCACCTCGTATTGGTGGAGAGATCTTCAGATCAGTGTGAAGCAGTACACTGGACATAATAGTATAGGGCTGCTTTCACAATGATGTGCTGCGGTTTACCCACACCGCGGATGCAGTGCACTATACCTGCAGCTTTGCTGCGTTTAGCCATAGGTTTCTATTATATAATGCGGGTTAGATGCACTTTCTGAAAGTGCACTAAAACTCCTGAATGCAGGATTTTTGTGTGCTTTCAGAAAATTGCTTTAAACCCGCAGGATATAATAAAAGTCTATGGCAAAGTGCAACTAACCCAGGAAAGTCGCGGATGCACAGCACTGTACTTGCAGTGCAGGTAAACTGCAGCACATCAGTGTGAAAGCAGCCTTATAAGAGGCTCAGAACAGTAAGGGTTCATTTAAAGTTACAGTTTGGAGGGTAGTAAAACCTCATGGTTAAGATGTGTTTTTACCACCCCACCCCCACCTTTAGCTGAAGTGGCCAAGAGTGGAAACATATCACAACAGCAGTTATACAACCTGTCATGGTTTTTGGGTGTAGCACCTGCCAAGCATGACCCACGGAAGTGAATGAGGCCGCTCTGCCACCTTGTGCAGTACAGCAAACAAGGGATTAAAGCAGGAAGAGTTGTGTTGCTTTCCCACCTCCTGCTAACCCCTTGGACCCCGCAGAAGCATGCAGTTGCGGGGCGCTTGCAGAGTAGCCCCATTTACTTGAATGGGTCATGACTGGCGGACGGTAGCACCCACCAAAAGCAACAAAGGGGTGTAATTCCTGCTGCGGTATGTGTACACTTTTGGCTGCTGCATTAGCAGTTAAAGGGGGTAGGGATTGGGGCTGGTAAAACCGTGACTGAACTGCAGGGTTTTACCACCCCCCAACTTTATGTGGAACGAGCCCTAAGGGTGCTGCTAATGCAACTAGGGGTTCATTCACAAGTGCAGCAGGCACTGCTGCTGCTCCTCTGAAAAGCCATCTGAGTATGTTTAACAGGTGGCGAGGAGCCGATATGTTGCCTCCTCACCACCTGATTTAAATGCATGATTGCCGTGCAATGCATGAAATTGTAACATGGTAGTGCGGCAATTAGAGGTTTAAATCATGTGTGAGGAGGTGACACTGTGCCCGGAGACCTTTGACCTCTTCCATTTTGTTCAGGTAAATCTCCACCTCTTTAAGGTTACCTACCCCTGCTCTAAAGAGTGGAGTGGATCTCCCGCTGCACTGCAAGGGTTAATTCTGAACTCCAAGGACTTGACAAGCTTCATATGAAAACACTGAAAAGGTTTGTATGATTGCCATGCCAATGTTTTCAGTTCTACATTTGGTCTCAGGGTGCACATGCACATTACAATAAATATTTTTCCTGAACAAAAGCCCACAAAGAAGGCCATACACCTGCCTGCTGCCATTCCTGAGAAAGTTCTGCACTGGTGATGCAACGATCCCGCAGTTGAATCAACTTTAGGAGACAGTCCTGGCACTTGCTGGGTTTTCTTGAGCACCCTGAAGCCTTCTTCACAATTGAACCTCTCTCCATGTAGTTCTTGATGATCTGATAAATGGTTGATTTTGGTGCAATCATAGTGGCAGCAATATCCTTGCCTGTGATTCTCTTCTTGTGCAAAGCAATGTTGACTACACGTGTTTCCTTGCAGGTAACCATGGTTAGCAGAGGAAGAACAATCATTTCAAGCACCTCCCTCCTTTTAAAGCTTCCAGTCTGTTATTCTTAGGGCTCGTTCACACTTGACTGTTTTACCAACGCTTGCCAAACGCCCCTATAGCGTTTGGCAAGCGTTGGTCCGGCGTTTGCGGAGCGTTTTTTAACGCTCGGCAAACACTCCACAAATGCCGCATGCGCGGTTTAGCAGTGGTTGCTAGGCATTTGCCGAGCGCTAAAAACGCCCCACAAACACCTAGAATGAAGTTTGAGTGGTGTTACCGCTCCGCAAACACCCCGCAACCGCGTCGCAAACTCTGGCCGGGTGTTTGCGGAGCGGCACCATAGACAAGAATAGGAGGCTTCAACGCCTCCTGACTTGTCCAGAGGCGTCCGTTTTGCCGCGCCGGGCCGCTACCTCTCCCGTTAGAACAGCACCATGTGCTGCAATGTGCAGAATTGCCAGAGGCGTTTGGAAAGCGTTTTTACCGCTTCCCAAACGCCTCTCTGCCGCCTGCACACAACGCTAGTGTGAACGTAGCCTTACTCAATCATCATGACAGAATGACCTCCAGCCTTGTCCTCATTAACACTGACACCTGTGTTAATGAGAAAATCACTGACAGGGCCTTCTTTAATATTGATTGGGCCCTGGGCAAACATTTTCTTGCCCCCCCCCCCCCCTCCCCTTACTCTGAGACACACAAAAAAAAATAGCAGGTAGTCTCAAAATCAGTTTACTGCAGAAGATCATGCAGGGATTGCAATTGGTTGCCAGAGGTTACAACATAAATTCTGCTTGTTGATTGGTTGCTAGAGATTACTGTACATTGTTACTGCTCACTGGTTGGTTGCTATAGATTTACTGCTTGTCATTGCCGCTTACCAATTGGGTGCTAGAGGTTACAGCACATCATTACCGCTTACCGATTGGCTGCTAGAGGTTACAGCACATCTTTACCGCTTACTGATTGGGTGCTAGAGGTTACAGCACATCTTTACCGCTTACCGATTGGGTGCTAGAGGCAGGGCTTTTTTTCTCAGAGGAAAGGTGGTGGAACTCCCCCACCCAAACCTGGCCACGCCCCCATCAAACCCTAGGACCACCCCTTTAGAGAACAGGAATGCAAGTAAAATTTGGGAGGGGCTTCCGATGACATCATTTCCCGTACATACCATATAAGGGAAATGATGTCATCGGACCCCCGGCTGCCTCTTGCATGATCTGCATGAAACACATGCATAGATATAAAATGACTAATGTACTGACACCAGAAACACATGCATAGATATAAAATGACTAATGTACTGACACCAGAAACACATGCATAGATATAAAATGAATACCGTACTGACACCAGACACACGCATAGATATAAAATCAGTACCGTACTGACACCAGAAACACATGCATAGATATAAAATCAGTACCGTACTGACACCAGAAACACACGCATAGATATAAAATCAGTACCGTACTGACACCAGGAACACATGCATAGATATAAAATCATGGCAGGCCGTTTGTAAACGTCCAGCATAGATATAAAATCAGTACCGTACTGACACCAGAAACACACGCATAGATATAAAATCAGTACCGTACTGACACCAGAAACACATGCATAGATATAAAATCAGTACCGTACTGACACCAGAAACACACGCATAGATATAAAATCAGTACCGTACTGACACCAGGAACACATGCATAGATATAAAATCATGGCAGGCCGTTTGTAAACGTCCAGCATAGATATAAAATCAGTCTAGCATGCATGTGTACCCTGTCTGGTAGATGTGCCTGCTCCTACAGGCTCCCCTAGGGTTGCCACCTTTTCCTCCAAAAAATACCGTCCATCACTGAATTTATCTTTCCTGTTCCTCATGCACAGGAGGGGCGCTCTCGATCGGCGCCGCTGAGCGCTGAGCAATTGCGTTCTGAAATAGTTTAGGTGGGCTCAGGTGGGTGAGGATAGTTTAGGTGGGCTCAGATAGTTTAGGTGGGCACAGGTGGTTGGGATAGTTTAGGTGGGCACAGGCTGGGGAGAGAGTAAAAATTTAGAGCAATACATGATACTGCAGTCAGTGACAGGGAGCCGAGCGCAGCTTACCTACTCCAAGCTGTACGGCCCCTGCGTCCACGCTGTCACTGCCGTTGATGTCGCCGCGCCGCCCCCGATGTTTACACGCCGGCGGGGGGGGGCGGTGAAGCGTGCATAGTGTCCTCGCCCATCGTCCGCGCCCCCGATGTTTACACGCTGGCGGTAGAGGGGGGGGGGGGGGTGAAGCGTGCATGTCCCCGCTCACCGGCTGTGAGCAGCGGCAGTGACAGGTGCCGGGCACGCGCAAGCATGACATAAAGCCGCGTCCGGCACCTGTCACTTTCGCTGCTCTGCATAGCTTGTCAGCTCTGCAGAGGCAGTCGGTGAGCGGGGACAAGAAGAAAAAGGTGGCGGAACGCAGTACCGCCGCGTTCCGGCAGAAAGAAAGCCCTGGCTAGAGGTTACAGCACATCTTTACCGATTGGCTGCTAGAGGTTACAGCACATCATTACCGCTTACCGATTGGGTGCTAGAGGTTACAGCACATCTTTACTGCTTAGCGATTGGGTGCTAGAGGTTACAGCACATCTTTACCGCTTAGTGATTGGGTACTAAAGGTTACAGCACATCATTACTGCTGATTGGTTGCTAGAAATTACAGCAGATAACTGCTGTTCACTGACTGGTTGCTAGAGGTTACTGCACATCATTAACGCTCACTCAGCAGTGGAGCAATCCCAAATAATTGAGCAAGTAAACTGCCACATTAAAACACATACTACAGGAGAGGACCAGAGACTGCAGACGTACTACAGGAGATGACCAGAGACTGCAGACGTACTACAGGAGATGACCAGAGACTGCAGACATAGTACAGGAGATGACCAGAGACTGCAGACATACTACAGGAGATGACCAGAGACTGCAGACATAGTACAGGAGATGACCAGAGACTGCAGACATAGTACAGGAGATGACCAGAGACTGCGGACACAGTACAGGAGATGACCAGAGACTGCAGAAGTACTACAGGAGAGGACCAGAGACCTTTCATCAATGCACAGCTTTACAGTTTTTGAACAGCTCAGGGTTTGGTATAACAGTCCATAGGCAGTCTATGGGAGGTGGACATACCTGGCCAGCCAGGATCAGCATCTGCTCTCAGAGGTCGGGGTGTGGGGCTCCCACTCAGATCTCAGCTCCTACTACAGTCACTCTCTCCTGAGCATACAGGCTGCATGAGGCGGGGTCAGTGGAGCTCCCTGCTGGCTAGGGAATACAATGATGTCTCCAGTGCCATCGCTGGGGCCCTAATTTTGTGGGCAGCGCAGGCTTAAGAGGCAGCTGCTATGGGCCCCACAACAAAGACTGGACCCAGGGCAGCTGCCCCGTTTGCTCTATGTTAGAGATGGCCCAGATCACTGACATGATGTCAGTTGGTCCTTTTCTGGAAGGGCTGAAATGCAGTGGAAATGGGATTAAGTTCATTTTTATGGCAAAGAGGGACTTTGCAATTAATTACAATTCATCTGATCACTCTTCATAACATTCTGGAGTATATGCAAATTGCCATCATAAAAACTGAGGCAGCAGTGAAAATTTAATATTTGTGTCATTCTCAAAACTCCTGACCCATCGATCGATTTGTGTACAACCAGAGTGCCCATATATGGATCAACATTCCCTGCTGACGCGGCTGAATTTCAAACCATTTATGGCCAACTTAACTGTGTGTACCCAGCTTAAGACTCCATTCATATATAGGCATTTGGAATTGCATGTGGAATTGCCACGATTCTACCCGCTATTTCAGAATGTGCTGTTAAAATGTGAAATCGGTCATCAGTGTGTTCAGGTGCCGTTGATTTCAATGCCACCTGAAGATACGGGGCGAATTTGTCGCGATTTTCACACAACAAACACAATCGTGCAAACAAAATGTTCTGGAACTTCTTTTGGGCGACACGCATCCGGCGATTTTTTTCTATTGCGTTTGTTGTTTGAAAAATTGCCCCACATTTTCTGGTGCCATTGAAATGAATGGCTGCTGAACACACTGATGAGCGATTTCACATTTGAACATTTTGAAATCGTGTGCTGATTTGCGGCAATTCCACCTAGATATGAACACAGTCTAAAATGTAAGTTCACTTTTTCAGAAAAAATGAAAGGGTGAACTAACACCCTACACCCTCCCTACCCCACTGTTCTCACTTCCGTAGGTGATGAGCTGTCATGTAATACTGGCATGTGATCGTTTTGACCAATCAAAATGGCTCTAATCCGTCTCAGATGCCTTACTGAAAGAAAAGGAAGAATAACTGAGATTTCAAATCCCCAAACTGCTACGCGGCCTCCGTGGGTGCTGAAAATATGAACTTACCCTATAGCCTGGGTCAGGGAAGGACTGACAACTCATGGGGCCCCTGGGCAATAGGGTATCATGGGGCCCCTGTGTCCTTGCCCACACTCAAAAAAGCCTATGAAAAAGGTACCAGGGGCATCTCATGGGACCCCCTACCGACCCCGGGCCCTGGGGCAGTGCCCGAGTTTCCAAATGGTCAGTCCGCCCCTGGCCTGGGTTCACACTGATACAGTGCAGAATTCATAGTGTTTTTCTGTGCGAATTCCGCACCGCATCACAATCACACCCTGTTCATGCGAACCGCTGCGGGTATGTATGGTAAGTTAACAACACCCCGAAATCGGTCCACAAAACGCGGTGCGATGTGCAGAATCGGATCGCATGGGTGTGAATACTCATGCGATCCGATTCTAGTTTGGACCAAAAAAAAGGGTCCTGCGCCTTTTCAGTGCGGATGCAGTGCGATTGGAGCCATACAAAATGTATGGCTCCAATCGCACCGCACACAATTCGCATGTGATTTGCACAGGAATGCGGTGCGGTTCCTGTACGAATCACATGCGATATACAGCACCGCACAAGCCTTAAATATATAATTGAAAGCATTTTTATTATATTTGTTCGACAATTGCAAAAAAAAAAAAGTAGCTGTTCATCCAACGACAACTGATAACTGTCCACAAGAAGAGAGTGCACGATGTTATCAGTTAACATTGTTCCCAGCTATCTCTGTGGAGTACAGAACACCTCCCCCTTTGTTATGGAGAGGGGGAGGTATTATATAGTCCAAGCATGCTTTCTTCCTAGGGTGACAACTATGTGCTTCCTAGATACAGTACGGTTGTCACCTTAGGACAGGAAGTGTTTTCCTGGCAGGATTACCGGTGAAAATGAAGAAGCCAAAACATCTAAGGAAAGGTAATCTGCAATAGATTCATCTTTTATTGTTGGGTTTACTGTAGATACATTTTATAACATTGACGTATAAAGCAGTTCATAATACTGCCCCAAACTACATCACCGATCTGGTATCCAAATACCACCCAAAACATACTCTCCACTCAAGACCTCCTACTCTCTAGTTCCCTGGTCTCCTCCTCCCATGCCAGTCTCCAGGACTTCTCCAGGGCTTCCCCCATTCTCTGGAACTCCCTACCCCAATCCATCAGACTGTCACTTACTCTCCTCACCTTTAGGCACACTCTGAAAACCTATCTCTTCAGGGAAGCCTACCCCGCCCTCAGCTAATTACTGAACTCCTCCACTCTTCCTACCACTCCATCCCCCACAGTTGTTTCCTCCTGTACCACTATCCCCTCCATCCTAGATTGTAAGCTCCAAGGAGCAGGGCCCTCGAACCCCTCGTGTATTGAATCGCATTGTTACTGTACTGTCTTGTGTATTGTCTCCCTTTATAATGTACAGCGCTGAGCAAACTGTTGGCGCTTTATAAATCCTGTATAATAATAAAAAACTAATAATAGATACGTTTCATTGTACTCAGACAGACAGCAGGCTGTAGATCTACTGTCAGGGTATTTTAATGCTCCCAGCACACATGGAAAGTGAAACCTAAAAAATGTGAAACATGACCCTCCATGAAGTTCATCCTCGTCCATTGTTGTGCGGGAGCTCTGCGTCTGCCGAACAATGATAAATACAGGGTAAAGCCCATTAGCAGAAGTGAAGTCATCGCCTGTGTTTGGGGAGCCTGCGCTCACAGGTTGTCACAGGCACAGTGACCCAGCATAGAGAGACGCTGCCAATTTATATATCGTCTTATCGCACCAAAGCTGCGCCCATCCCATCTCTGTCACCGAGAGGATGCTGTGCCATTCAAATCCAGCCAATAGCTACTTACAAACAAACCCTCCGCCCCTCCCCCTTGATTAATTATTACACATGGTGGTCAATCACCTTCAACACGCCCAATCGGCCTGCAGGGTGGCCAACCAAAGCCCACCCACTTCTTCCAAGCCTGGGCCAATCAGAGGAAGTTGTTGCCTCTCTGGCAGAACCAGTTTATAATGGTTCTAGCGAGGACCCTAGGTTTAGGTGTCTTTTGCAATGCCTGTTATGCCACAAATAGGTCCTTGTATTCCGTGCGAGAAGGTTGAAAAGACTGAATCCTTCTCACATCCTGTGCAGTCACACAGGCAGTATTCCAGCGCAGTTGTCGTTGTCGGGAAAGCGGCGTTAGTTTGCAAAATATTCACATTGAGCACTCCAAACAAATACAGTAAACACATATATGTTACATACTGGGATCCAGATACTAACATTTATTCACATAATAAAATTGAAACTGAAAATTGAACCCAGCCACAAAAGTCTACAGATCATGTCAATGCAACAAAGAATTCATTGGGGGAATGATTAAATAGTGACTGAGTTCTATCTCAACTGTTGCCATTGCCCTTAGCAACCATTTAGCTTCTATCCTTCATTTTTTTCACACAGCTTACAAAATGAAATCTTAAAATAGAACTGGTGGCAAAACTTTATTTTTTATTTTGGATGGGGGGGTTATAACCCTTGTCATGTTTTTTTTTGCCATCTGTGTCCTGTTGGGGAGATTTCCCTTCACATCCTGTCCCATAGTTTAAGTTTAGATGTGCCATTGAAGGGGCTTTGGTAAAACTATGCAGTTACATCACGTTTCTAGCTCCCCTCTCCAACCAACACCATTGGGGAGATTTCCCTTCACTTCCTGTCCCATAGGCTAAGTTTAGATGTGCCATTGGAGGGGCTTTGGTAAAACTATGCAGTTACATCACGTTTCTAGCTCCCCTCTCCAACCACACCATTGGGGAGATTTCCCTTCACATCCTGTCCCATAGTCTAAGTTTAAATGTATGGTTGGGGAAATTTCTCTTATAAGAAGTTTGTATGTATGGTTGGGGAGATTTTCCTGCAGTTCCTGTCTCATAGCCATGTCCCATAGGCTAAGTTTGGATACATAGTTAGGAAGATTTTTCTTCACTTCCTTTAAGATAGCCATGCCCCATAGGTTGAGATTGGATGTATGGTTGGGGAAATTTCCTTTCACGTCCTCCAGATAGCCATGTCCCATAGGTTAAGTTTAGATGTAGGATATGGGGATGGGAGGTAAAAATATGGAGTTAGCTGCATTTCTAATTCCCTCCATCACACTTCAGCGTTTTCTGCAGCGTTTTGCAGAAACACACTACAGTCCATTTAACATGATTTCCTATGGGACACGTTTACATCTCCGGTTTTCACCTTGTGCATTTTTTGGAAAGGGTCAGGGACTTTTGTGAACGCAAAAAGTTGATTTTTTGGTTCTATAGACTTCCTTGGAAACACTGCAAAAAAGCATGTAGTGTGTTTTTTGCAGCGTTTTTGACGCATTTTAAATCTGCCTAGGAACAAGAAAAATACAATTTTAAAAAAACGCATCAAAAACACTGCAAAAATACAAAATGCAATGCAGAAATGGCTCAAAAGCAAACTGCACAGGTGGGAACCTAGCCTAACATGCAAGTGTACAATCCCAACGCACACGTTCCTGCGTTAAAAATAGCTGTGTGTATTCGTGGGTGCTGCAGTGACCGTCGGCTGGAACCGAACAAAATCAGCAAGGAAAAATGTCACCAGCACACCGAGGATCACCAATATGGGTCCAAAGGTTTTAATAGACCATCACATATTTACAGCAAGGCAACGTTTCGGAGTCTCGCAGGACCCCTTCATCAGGTATGTGATAAATTGTGATAGATACTGGAGAACTATTTAAAAAAACCATCCACCAATCAGAGTGAAGTGAAATGAGCTTGGCCCCGCCC